TTAATACCCTTTAAAACGCACCCAAGAACGTACGATTTGGTAAAAAAACGAGAGAGATATGAATTAAAATGTAAATTACTTTGGGGAATAATAGATGTACCAGACTTATTTTATAGAAGCACCAATTCCTAACGGAATTTAACGTTCTTGGGCTCGTTTTGAAGCTATTAAAAATGTTAATAAATTTACCGATTAATAATTTTAAAATATTGGCCTAAAGACCGGTCATAAACCAGTTAAAACCGATGCAGACCGAAACCGGTCTATAGACCGCAAAAAACCGCGGTCTGCGGTCTTTTTGCGGTCCGGTCTGGTCTTTTGACTTCTGGGGAAAATGCAGACCGGTTACGGTTACGGTTAACACCCCTGGGCATCAAAAAACCGGACCGAACCGGACTTTCAAACACTAGTCAGCCCCAGCCGAATGGTTATTGAATGTAAGCCTGTCTTTCCTCTTTCCTCCCTTGTCTCCCTTCAGAAGCTGACCATCTCTTAGTGACTGACTCCCCTGTTTCCTCTGTGCAAGAATTGCCCCCCACTACCCCGCCACCGCCTCCCGTTGATGGGATCCTTCTCAGCGGTGGCACTGGCACCAATGACGAAATTTTGGTCATTGCCTGTGGGAACTGCACAGCCCGCAATGTGGTGGAGATGGTGAAGGACTATTACTATGTGGTCTTCAAAGGCAGGGGTGCGGTTGGTGTTTTTCGGAGCCTGGTAAGTCTGTCATTGAGCCATGTCGTGCCAATCTGATGTTGTGCTCAGGAGGCTGCAGACCTTGTCTGTGTGAGTGTTCCCAATGTGTTCTGAAGAAAATATACCACCCGAAGTGCCGCTTTTGAGTGTTAGCCCATGCAGAGCGCACCAACACCATTGCGTGGCTGTAGGGTGACTATTTTCATCATGCCAATCACCACAGCCTTCAACCCTTTGCATGCTTACTGCATATGTTATACCCTATTTAAGTGTTCTCCCCTCCCTTGCATCCCTCTCCTTCCATACCACACTTCTTGGACTCCATTCGCACCCGTCTCTTGCATTTCTTGGACTCTGTCTGCAATGTCTCTATATCTTGTACTCCGCTCGCATCTACTTCGCTCGCATCTTCTCCATGTTGCTTAGAACTCATATCTCATCGATTCCATGTCTTGTAGCCTGCCGTTCTGCCCTTTTTTGGACTAGAGTCACCACGTTTTGAAACGGCCACTCCCTGTTCTGGTTAGCTTCACTTGTGTTGTATTTTTTATTGCCCCTGCCCCTTCTTGTTGTGTATATTAGATGCTCTTAATTCAATTGACTTCATTGTTGCGTGTATGAACCGCGTGTGACTGTATGTGATGAGCTCGCTTGCGTAATCATTGTACTCCTCACATCCCCTGAACTGGCTGACATATGTACCCCAGCACCATCGACATGCTGCCCGCGGCTCCCATGCATTCGCCAACACATTTGGCCCATTTTGTCATTGTATGATGGGTGTTTGACATCGAGAGCACTGATCGCTGTCAATTGGTTGCACTTGAGTGAGTGTGGATCCGTTGCTTCTCTCCCCCTTTCCTCAGATCCTGCTCATGTTTTAGTAGCCCCCTCCCCTCCCCTCCCCTCCGATGGGTCTCTTTTGCTGCCCTTCCTTATGTTCACTCTACATGCACGACCTCCTTTGGCGTTTTAGGTACCTCAGCATGCTTGGTTATGGGCCAGCAAGCCTCCCCTGGTGCCCTTTCCATCCCCTCAGAGTCCCTCCATCATGGAAGACTAGCATCATTCAGCAACCAATGCTTCTGACATCTGTCATGCATCGGTTTCACACTGTGGATTTTTTTTCACCCTTCTTGACTGTGGTCGGCAAAGGTTCCAGGGTAGGTTTTCCCTCTGAATCGTCCTTGACTTGTGTTGAAAAACAGCTGCTAGGTCATACAGTTTGCTGGGTAAGGCCTTGCATTGTGAGAACACGACACCTGGGACTGCCGTGTCAATGTTTTTATGGGTCAGATCATGTCGCTGATCACTGCTCATCAATCGTGACTTCTCGTCCTTCAGATGCTTCTGTGCCTGCCAGTAGTGCTGTCAGTTTTTTTTTTCAGATGGCGTCGATTGCGCACTCGCCATTGACTTTCCCACAATGACCTCTTCAACCTACTCCCATCCTTGCTGGCTTTTCGGTGTTGACTTTCTACTCTCAACGGGTTGGACGCCTATCATCGTCACTAGTATGTGGTCGTTTCAGCTTTCTTTCTTTCGAGCACATAGTGACTTTGTACTCCAGCAATGGCAGAGGGTCGCTAGAATCTCTGTTGAATGCTCCATCTGACACCCAAAAGCAAAATGTCCCAAGCTACTCTCGCACGACGCAAGAATCGAAAGGGGACGGCCTCTCCATCTCCATCCCCAACACCTCCTCTTCCACCTCAACCCAACTTCCGCTTGATGACGAGTGTGCCAGAGTCATTTGATATGGACACAGGCGAGGGATCATCTGGGCAGTTTGACGACATGCCTGCCTCTGATGGTGGGTACGAAACCATTGGACTGCTTCCTGACGCTGAGGACCATGAAGTCGATTCTACTATGGCTGAAGTGGACTATTGGTTGGGTGCTGGTGCAAGTCAAGAGATCACATCTATGTGTGTCGATGCCGACTTGTCACCGGATGAGGACATCAGCCCCTCCAGTGTGGAAGGAAATCCACGCGCTAGTGCTGTGCCGTCGAGTGTTGATGAGGAGCTCGAAAATAGACCGCCTCAGGACGGTCGTGGTTCTCCATATGTCAATCCGGTTGATGCACCCCTGGCTCCTCCCTTGCCAGACAATCCTTTCCCTCTGCTCAACCCTTATCCACAGTTCATTTTCCCCGATCCAATGCTCATGAACGTCTCTGTTCAAAAGGATGCTCTGAAAGAGGTGCTCCCTAGGGCGCATGATTTCGCGCCACCTCGGTTGGTTTTGGACGATCTTCCCGTTTATGGACCTTCCTCCACTTTGCCAAAGGACACGGCGAAGGAGGCTTATTTCAAAGCACTTGGCTTTGGACCCCCAGGAGTGTTGTCTGTTGATCACACACCTTCCTCCGCTTTGCCAAGCAACATGGCGAAGGAGGCGTACCTCCAGGCACTTGGATTTGGACCCCCTGGAGCCTTGTCTGTTGATTGTGCTCCATCTTTGACTGAACGCCCTGCTTGCACATTAGTGTTCGCAGGTCCAGTTAAGTCCAGTTTTTTACCTCAAAACGACGCAACTGGCAACTGCAACCAGTCTAGACCGATCCAAATATTGAGGGACCGCAACCGGACCGCTTTGGACCGGTCTTTTTCGGTCCACAACGCAAAAAAAACCGGTCCAGACCGGTTGCGACCGGTCTTTTGTTGAAAAATTTATTGTGCCAGATATATTAAATGTTACCTCACGTATATAGCATGCGTAGATAGATAATTTAATTCTCCGTACGCTGGCCAAAATTTGAAGCGAATCGGTCAAGATTTGACTGAGATATGGTGAAAACGGAGAGAACATACATTCAAATTGCGTATAAAAATGTTTTTGGCCATATCTCAACCAATTCTTGACCGTTTTTGATGATTCAGGGACCGAAAATTAAGTAAAATGTGCACGAGTAAGGTACAATATGTGATGAGACGAAAGACCGGTTGCAACCGGTCTAAACCGGTCTTTTTCGGTTTTTATATATTTACAAAAACATGGCAACTGGCAACTGGACTGATCACAAATGTGGGCAACTGGCAACTGGAAAAGACCGGACTGTGGTTCAGTCCAGTTCTCACGCATCCGAAAACCAGCCTAGGTACTTCTGAGGCAGATTTCAATGCGCCTGCGGAAGACGAGGACTCTTTTCTCTTCCCAAACTTGGACGATAGTCCATTGGCGGACGATGTGACGAGAAACATGGATGAAAGTAAGGAGCTGGTCCCTCGTCAGCAAGCTGGTCGTATCTCAAGTTCGTCATGGGATGTGTTGAACACCGGCTTCCAGAAGATCGACGACATCATCGACCAACTTGCTAACAAGACAGGCCATACACATGAGAACATCATCACGTTGTGGAAGCGCACCCACACACATGAATGTACAGGCTCGATGTGGAATAAATACCAGAAATACTTTCTAGCTAATCGGGAGAAGGAACGTAGACGGATTGGGGACTCAAGGGCAAATTGTAGGTATTTCTTTTACCTTAATATGTTCTTGACTGATGGCGATGATTTAGGCTGGACTTGCTGGGTCGGTTTTAAAGAACATGAGCCCAGATGGCGTGAGATCCTTGAGGCCTACGACGAAGTCCTCGCCGCATCAAATGTTCACTCAACCATCAGTTAATGCACGCGAAAGTTTGACAGGCTGGTCAGTCAGCTCAAAAGGGTCACAAACAAAGCAGCCGAACAAGACGGCTTTGAATCCCTCTTCGTTTTGGTGGGAAATTCGATCCATGAGGACGTCGGTCTCTCTCAAGTTCACCTTTCGGCAGGTGCAGAGGAGGTATGTCCCATCTCCTGGTCTATCAACACATCCGCTAACAGCTATCCTGTCAGTTCTTGCAGGAGTGGCTTCACATGGATCATGACACGATGAGTGGTCTATTTAAGAACCACGTCTGGTAGGCCAAACCTCCCAAGTCAGTCGAAGTTCACCCCTAATCTACATTTTTTGCAGCAAGAGGATTTCCCTGGGACTCCAAACAAGGCTCGAGACAGACCAGAAGAGCTCGGCAGAGGCAGTTAACACAACCAATCCTAAGAAGCCTGGACCAGACGGGGACTCTTCCAACAGCGGCGACGATGACGACAACACAAGTAAAAGCTCTGGCCTCACCCTCGAAAAGGTGAAGGTGATCATCAAAACAGGCCTTCAAAACCTTCTGGGTATGTCACAACAATTGATCGTGGAACAACAGGTGCTGACGTGACGTTGCAGAGCCATATGACCTCTGTCTTAGTTTCGAATCTATTCCTTGGTCGAAGCTGTCCACCACCCTCGCCCCTGCCGGTCTTAGGATTGAAAATTGGACCAGAGGAGTCGATTTTCCGCGCTCAATTGCGAAAGGCGCTACTGTAATTCGTAAACGAAACACAAGCCAGGGAATCAAAGACCTCGGCATTGGTGCCATCCAGCGTTTCGCTGAGTCTTTTGCATCTGATGCTACGAGGATCCGTGTTGTCCGCATGGATCCAGAAAGTAAGTGTTGTTGCCATTCAACCATTATACTACTGACTTATTATATTGTTTTACTAGTGCTACTCACGAGCAAAGTGCCCTTGTACATGGAAGCACCGCCAGGTCCCAGCTCACTGACGAAAGTCACTCGTCGCAGTTATCTGGATGGTCACGTCGATCAGATCATGGACAGGTCGCAGGAAAAGCACCCTCGCATCGCGAAACTTCCGCCAGCACATGAGATCATAGAGATCAAGTTGAGTCCACCATCGGATCGCCTGACTATGGCGCCTCGTTGAGCACACCCCAAAAGCAAAAAGGAAAGAAGACCTGACGGCAGCGATGATAGCGATGATGAACCTGTGGTTCCACCGGTGAAAAGGCGACCCACCAAGAAGTCCAAGGAAATCGTCTCATCCAGCAACATCAGCGATGCCGACACCAATGATACTTTGGAGTCGACGGTGACTTCAAAGTCAGAGAAGGCCAAGACGACAGCAAAGGCGCTCAAGGGAAAGGGTAAGGCTACAGCGACTAAGACCACTGCCATGGGCACCGCCTCTGGATTGGGTGCTGCCCCAGCTGCCCCCAGCGACCAACTCAAACTGATCTCTGCATTCAGTGCAGTGTCTCGTGCTGTTGCTGCCGCGTCTACGTCCAAACCATCACCCCCCACTGTAAACCCAGCTGGTAGTGCATGCATCCAGCCACGCCCCATCAAGCATCAACCTCCAGCCATCTCAGCTGCCAGAGACCCATTCACCGTGAAAGAGGCCAGAGCTTCTGGAAATCCTAAGGGCGTGTCCATGCGACCTGTCACTCCCTCAACATTGACAATCCACGAGTCTACGACAATGTCCAAACAGTCAGCGTTTGGACCCATTTGTATCTTCGACGATCCAGCCCTCTCCCTGTCCAAGTCCACTTCAAAACGCTCAGTGGATACTGAAAGGTCGCAAGCGGTAATCAGCAAGAAACCTCGCACCAACGTTGACAGACCAATGAGTTCAGCACTTGCGATGGCAGATAAACCATTGGAGGAACCAATCATCATCCCAAAACCCACTTCTTCTGTGGAGGACACACTGGTGCCTGGAGCGATGTCCATGCCTACTCCACCCCTGACACAAGGGGCCAGGGTCAATCCTACACAGGGATACCAGTGGCCATATGGCTTCTTTCCTCCGTTCAGTTTTCCGCCAGGGTACCCGGCCCCACCCCCTGGTTGGACCTTTCCGGGGATGCCGCCTTGGAACCCTGACCGTCCCGCAGGTAGTGCTTCTGACTCAGCACCAGTTCCGCCATATCTGCCTCACCCGTACTTCCCTCAAGGCGCCTTCCCTACCCCTTCAGCAAAGCCAGCCGAAGGGGAGCCTGGACCCTCTCGCCTGACATGAGGTCGTCGCTTCATCATATTCTGCTTCAAGTTGGTGGTTGTGCAAGATTGTGCTCACTCGATCCTCTGACATTTTTCTTGTAGCTCTTAGTTCTTGTATGCATTTTGAACTGATTTCGTATGCATTTTGGACTGTCATTTTGGACTTGAATTTTTTACTATTTCTTGGACTATATTCTTGACATATATCGTATGTATTCCCGTAATTCCGTATTTTTAATACCAAAACCTTCTTGGAATGATTCTGTGTGACATACAAATAAAAAACACAGCACATCACGTTGCGCTGGGTGCTTGGGTGGTGAGAGGTCTTCGCGCTTGGGCGGTGAAGGTCACACTGGGCACTCTGGGCACTCTGCGCGGTCAGAGGCTCAATACCTGACACTTTGAACACCTTGGGCTCTTTGGGTGCTGCACTTTGGGCTCTAAGATGAAGGCCCGATCCCCTTCCTAATTTGGATTGATCAGGAAGGTGCCATAGTGATAGCGACCTCTCAGGCCAATTACCATCAGTCAAATAATTGGCCTCCGAGGTCATCTCGCACTCAGAAGCGCCAGGCCTGAAGTGAGTGGTTGAATAATGTTGTTTTGATGATGCAAATGTGATGCATAAATTCGCTAGTACATTATTCTTATTTCTAAGACATTCATCGTGCAGTAATGATTCATTGTGGAGGAGAAAAGGCCGTAGCCAGTATAACCAATGCTGAGGCTTGCTCATAGACAACCAATCACCGGCCTGCCCATTATGGTGAGTCATAGCCATTGCAATTGAATTGTTGAATGATACGGTCCTGTAGCGTAGAGTAGGCACTCTGTGAATTTTAAAGCACGGACTGTGCTCCCTGTTGTCAATGATGCTCTCAACTGTATCCAGTCGATCCCATGGAAGCCCACCCTCTGGTGTCCACATGTTATGAAACGAAATGATGGTCTTATGCACCTCGTATTCAATTGGCCATAGCCCGCTCCATTTGGCTGTAGATTTGCAGTTGGTAGTTAGGTGATATGTCAGGCGCTCTGAGGATGTTGATTGTCCTGTGTATGGTGGTATAAATATGTGCTTGGACGTTAAAAAGAGGTGGGGATTGGGTCAAGGCCTTACCTCGAACCGAGAAGTGTCAACGCACTTCGGACTGTTGTCGTTGATCAGACCTTGTGCTGCAGCTTACAGAAAGGGCACATCTTGATGATGCCGCAAACCCGCTACCCACATATGACAGTGACCCTAGCCCTTACCAAATGGACCAACCGAACCTGACAATGCTTCATACCATATGGGGCCAGCGGACTCGGCTGACATCTCAACAAATCATCCATAGTGATGGCTGGGCCGAACAGGTGGGTGCCTGCCAATAATGGGGGCTCCTATTGAAAATGATTCACAGTTGCATGCCAATAATGGGGGCTCCTATTGAAAATAACCCACACTTTGCACCAATGCCATTATTCTTTTGTGCTCTACAGGCGAAATTATTTTGAGCTCTGCAACAGGTGCAATTATTTGCACTCTATGGGGGTGCAATTATTTGTGCTCTAGAGGTGCAATTATTTCAAGCTCCACAAGTAGTGTTTAAAGGTTCAGTCCATAGGACTGCAAAAAACCGGTGGACCGAACTGAACCGGACCATGGTCCGGTCTTTTTTTCGGTTGCAGTTGCCCCAATTTGGGGTTGGTCCAGTTGCCGGTTGCCTCATTTCGAAAATCTTTTAAAACCGTTCAAAGACCGGTTTTGATCGGTTGCAACCGGTTAAACGGTCACGTGCGTTACATACCCTTGTAACCACGTTTATTACCTTTTATTGGATTTTTGTTTCATCCAAAACGGTTAAGAAGTGAGAAAGATATAACCAAATCCATATTTTACCTGAGTCTCTAGGAGATGTAATTCGGTTTCAGTCATAGCTATGTCAAATCTTCATTAAATCTCTTACAAATTGGTAGAATGACGGATATTTACATGCTTTACCATTTTATGGAAGCCGTTTATTTTTCAGAGTAATAATAGTTGAGATATAAATGGTTTATATTGGTATAATAAATTATACGCAAAAAAACCGGTCTGGATCGGTCTGAACCGGCTCCATAGACCGCAAAAGACCGGTCCTAGGTGGTTCGGTTCGGTTCCCTGAATATCTGGATTGGTCCTAGACCGGTTGCGGTCCACGGTTGCGCGTTTTGGGGGCAAAAAACCGGACTGAACTGAACTTGTGAACACTATCCACAAGAGGCGCAATTCTTTTGTGCTCCATGGAGGCGCAATTCTTTTGCACTCCATGGGGGCGCAATTATTCCCAGCGCTACAGGGGGTGCAATTATCTTGAGCTCCATGAGGGGGGAAATTATTTGCATTCCATGGGGGCACAATTATTTTGAGCTCCATAAGGGATGCAATTCTTTTGCACTCCACAGGGGGTGCAATTCTTTTGTGCTCCACAGGGCGCACAATTCTTTCAAGTGCTACTGTATGTACCTTGTGCTGTTGATAGGGTCACAAATAGTCTGTATCCAGCATTGTTTCAATGTCAGAGTGTGCTGTGCCCAATGTGAATGTGCACCAAAGGTCACAGTGCACCCATCAAAGTGCACCCAATGTGAATGGGCACCAAATGTCAGAGTGCGCCCAATGTAAATGTGAACCAAATGCCAGAGTGTGCCCATCAGAGTGCACCCAATGTGAATGTGCACGAAATATCAGTGTGCCCAATGTGAATGTATGAAATGTTGGAATGTGAATGGGCACAAAATGTCAGTGATTATTTTTCTGCATGAAATGTCAGTGTGCCCAATGTGAATGCATGAAAAGTGCGCCCAATGTAAATGTGAACCAACTGTCAGAGTACACCCATCAGAGTGCACCCAACGTGAATGTGCATGAAATATCAGAGTGCGCCCAATGTGAATGCATGAAATGTTGGAATGTGAATGGGCACCAAACGTCAGAGTGTGCCCATCAGAGTGTACCCAATGTGAATGCATGAAAAGTGCGCCCAATGTGAATGGGCACCAATTGTCAGAGTGTGCCCAATGTGAATGGGCACCAGATGTCAGAGTGCGCTCAACGTGAATGCACACAAAATGTCAGTGCACCCATGTGAATGTTCACCAAATGTGAGTGGGTGCCAAATCACTTATACCTGCACTAAGTATGCATCTGTGTCTGTTATTTTCCAGTTGTATTTCCACCCATTATCTTTTTGCATGAAATGTCAAGTGCACCCAATGTGAATGTGCATGTGAGTGGGCGCCAAGTCACTATGTTCCTATGGCATTTATTTTGCACAAAAAATATGTGCCCCCCCAATTGTAGTAAATGCCTGGCCCACTTTGGCAGGGATTTATGGCACTGATGCACTGCACCCATTGGTCTCATTGGTGAGTCCTAACCTGTGCAATTATTTTGCGCTCTACAGGCGCAATTATTTTGAGCTCCACAAGGGGCACAATTATTTGCACTCTATGGGGGGTGCAATTATTTTGCGCTGTAGAGGCGCAAATATTTCAAGCTCCACAAGGGGCGCAATTCTTTTGTGCTGCAGGGAAGCACAATTATTTTGAGCTCTACAGAGGGCACGAGGCGCAATTCTTTTATGCTCCAGGGCGCAATTACTTGCGCTCTATGGGGGAGCAATTATTTTGCACTCTATGGGGGCGCAATTATTTTGTGCTCTAGAGGTGCAATTATTTCAAACTCCATGAGGGGCGCAATTCTTTTGCACTCCATGGGGGCACAATTATTCTGAGCTCTACAGGGGGTGCAATTATCTTGAGCTCCACAAGGGGCGAAATTATTTGCATTCCATGGGGGGTGCAATTATTTCGAGCTCCATGAGGATGTACACTCCACAGGGGGCACAATTCTTTCAAGTGCCACTGTATGTACCTTGTGCTGTTGACAGGGTCACAAATAGCCTGTGTCCAGCATTGTGTAGTGAATACAAATGTGAGTGGGCACCAAGATACTGCCAGTGTCAGATTGTCATGCCCATTGGTGCTTCAGGTGGGCACCATAACTGTCAATACCGAGTGTGTATCTGCGCCCATTATTTTTCAATGTGTATCTGTGCCCATTATTTTGTGCACCAATTTTGCCATGTGGATTTCCACCAAACATGAGTGGGCGCCAAGTGTGTATTTGCGCCTATTATTTTTCTTCATGAAATGTCAGAGTGCGCCCAATGTGAATATACATGAAATATCGGAGTGTGCCCAATGTGAATGCACACAAAATGTCAGAGTGTGCCCAATGTGAATGTGCACCAAATGAAATATGAGCCCAATGTGAAGGTGCCCCAAATGCGAGTGGGTGCCAAGTCAGTATATACCTGCAACAAGTGTGCATCTGCACTTGTTGTTTTTCAGTATGTATTTGGAGTGCGCCCAATGGGAATGTGCACCAAATGTCAGGGTGCACCCATCAGAGTGTGCTCAATGTGTTCTATTCTGACTTTCTAAGGTGTCCAGACATGGGTAGGTGATGATACCTCTCATGCTCTCTCCTATTTCGCATTTTTCACTGCCATCCCATTCTCCTCCCATTTCCAAAACATTTTATGGTCCTATCCTGACTTTCTAAGGTGTCCAGACATGGGTAGGTGATGATACTCCCCATGCTCTCTCATATTTCGCATTTTTTACTGCCTTCCCATTCTCCCCCACCCTCCAGGTCACTCCCAAATCACATTGGTGCCTCCCAAATGCCCCATATTTCACTCTCTTGGATGGTACAGGATATATGCTGGGCTCTGGGCTCCAGAAGTACACTTCCTGGATTAATCTACAGGAATTGAAGATGGAATTCCTGGAATGGTGGATGGATTTCATGAATTTTCGGGATGGATTCCATAGATTTGCAAGATGGCTCTCAGCCAGTAACCTACAGCTACTTTTATCCAATATATAGTTATCTTTCTCTGTAACTTTTGGCTGAACCTTAAGAAACGAAGAAGAGCACTGCAAAGCTCTGGACAATAATCAACGCAACATGCTTGACAGAAAAATCACACTTGTGAGAGTGTGACAGCCTAGACAAAACAGCTGAGTATTGAATTCAGTTGGCCACAGACAACCGTTGCTCTTAAAAATGGTATCAGTAGATGCTGAATTATGTCTAAATTATGATTCCAGCTTGTTTGAGCATCCAAGCTTCTTCCCCCATGTTTTGTAGCATGAACTTGTAGAATTATCGGAATATTTGTTTTTGTTTTCTTGGCCCTTCCAACATCTTTCAAGTCTTTTGCTGCCATAAAATATTTACACAACTACTGGTGCTTTTCTAATAGGTATAGATTGATAGAGGACGTTTATACAATTCTAATGATACTAAATTTGTACATTCAAGCTTCTTCCCCCACCCCCTGAGCTCGAAAATATACCGGACATGGCCAAATTTTGACAAAGTCCAAACATCATTTGGCACAAGAAATTTGTTCCAGTGGGGCACATGATGTCATTCAGCAGGGCAGCTACAAACTACTTTGGTTTATGCATTTACTACAATTGGGGGGGCGCATATTTTTTGTGCAAAATAAATGCCATAGGAATATAGTGACTTGGCGCCCAGTCACATGCACATTCACATTGGGCACACTCGACATTTCATGCAAAAGAATAATGGGTGGAAATACACACTGAAAAATAACAGGTGCAGATGCATACTTAGTGCACACATTTGATGTGCATTCACATTGGGCACACTCTGACATGACATTTCATGCCCATTTCACATTGGGCGCACTCTGACATTGAAACAATGCTGGACACAGACTATTTGTGACCCTATCAAAGCACAAGGTACATACAGTGGCACTTGAAAGAATTGCGCCCCCTGTGGAGTGCAAAAGAATTGCGCCCCCTGTGGAGTGCAAAAGAATTGCATCCCTTATGGAGCTCAAAATAATTGTCCCCCCCATGGAATACAGATAATTTCACCCCTTGTGGAGCTTGAGATAATTGCACCCCCTGTAGAGCTCAGAATAATTGAGCCCCATAGAGCAGAAGTAATTGCGCCCTGGAGCACAAATAATTGCACCCTGGAGCACAAAAGAATTGCACCCCCCATGGAGCGCAAAAGAATTGTGTCTCTCATGGAGCTTGAAATAATTGCACCTCTAGAGCGCAAAAGTAATTGTGCCCTGGAGCACAAATAATTGCGCCCTGGAGCATAAAAGAATTGCGCCCCCCCCCATGGAGTGCAAAAGCTTGAAATAATTGCACCTCTAGAGCACAAGATAATTGTGCCCCCATAGATCGCAAGTAATAGTGCCCTGGAGTGCAAAAGAATTGTGCCCCCCATGGAGTGCAAAAAATTGTGCCCTGGAGTGCAAAAGAATTGCACCCCCTGTGGAGCGCAAAAGAATTGCGCCTCTTATGGAGCTTGAAATAATTGCACCTCCAGAGCGCAAAATAATTGCGCCCCCATAGAGCACAAGTAATTGCACCCTGGAGCACAAATAATTGCACCCTGGAGTGCAAAAGAATTGTGCCCCCTGTGGAGCGCAAAAGAATTGCGCCTCTTATGGAGCTTGAAATAATTGCACCTCTAGAGCGCAAAATAATTGCATCCCCCATGGAGTGCAAAAGAATTGCGCCTCTCATGGAGCTTGAAATAATTGCACCTCTAGAGCACAAAAGAATTGCTCCCCCATAGAGCGCAAGTAATTGCGCCCTGGAGCGCAAAAGAATTGCACCTCTCATGGAGCTTGAAATAATTGCACCTCTAGAGCACAAAATAATTGTGCCCCCCATGGAGCGCAAAAGAATTGTGCCTCTCGTGGAGTGCAAAATAATTGCACAGGTTGGGACTCGCCAATGAGACCAATGGGCGCAGTGCATGGGTGCCATAAACCTCTGCCAAAGTGGGCTGACCCATTGTATGAGGGGCTTTTCTTCATGCCACCCATCCATGGCGAAAAATTCACCTGTTGTTGCCTGCAGGCGCAACAACGAGGCTGCTGTCAACACATTTAAATACTTACTTCACATACAACAGGTTAATAATATATCTATTTAACTTTCTCCTGTGTGGTCCCCCACAGTGGTACTAACGAGGCAGCACTCTTGTTAACTGCCTGAAAGAACAATGGGCACAACAATGGGATCCATGCAATTGGGCGCAACCCATGGGTGCCAGAGGCAAAGTGGGCCGATCTGTCCTCTATGGGGCTCTGTTCGTGCGGCCCACCCATGTCGCATGGCCTATTTTAGAGTCTCGGCCCAGTCATTCCCAAGGCCGAATTCTTGACAGCTCGGCCAAGTACGCTGGCCCACTGTTGATGGGTGCCTGTCACACACTGCTGGCCCATCAGTGATGGACCCATTTGACTGCCCTAACTGCGCTACCAATGCCAGCTTCGACGTTCAAATGTTTCGAAAAGTGACGTGACTGGTAGGTAGCCTCCTGTTATCGGCAGAAGAAGCAACGTCGGAGAGTTCATGTAAGTGTCCTCTGGTCAGTATGAAGCAAATGAGAAGAGAGAAAATTTTTACATGACGTGTCAAACCCGGCTCCATTTGAATCATTGCCAAAGCTTTCATCCACCCTCATCGCCGCTTAAGCATTTGCGCATCATCAGCTCGTCCAGTGGTTATCCAAATGATCGTGATGATGAGGATCAATTTGCGAGGTCTGGATATATGTGGTCTGTGAAATGCAAGGCAGGAGAGTCACTTACCGTTTTTTAACATCCTCCAACTTTTCACCACACGATTCCGAGGAGTCTGTGGAAATGGAGTTGTGTTCTGAAAGGAACATCAATAGTAGGGCAGACGTCGAAGGAAAGCAGTGTACCACGTTGTGTCTCACCATTCATCAGTTAGGACGTCGACGGTCGCAGAGAAACTTGAATGTAAAGGCTCCTTACTTTCTCGTTGAAATACTTGTGATGTAGAATACTGTAGCATTTCATTCAATTCGACGGTCACGTGTCATGGTGCCCTTCAAATTGCTGAAATGTCACAGTGGTCACGCAGATTTTTGTAAGGTGTCGAAATCATCTGGCACTCATGTGATAAATGTCGAAATTTTTCGTGGCCTGTGGCGCTAAGTGGTCGAAAATTCACCCAAATTTTCGGCTTGTCACGGCGAATTTGTGTGGTTGTCGAAACCAAAATTTTGACAGGCCTGTCACATGTCACCAGCCCTGTCGAATTGAACGAAATGCTACAGTAGGCCATGTCAATAAACGAATCAAAATTGTCATAAATGACCTACACTATTCCAGAACACACATCATTCTGCCTTGTCAATCCCGTTGTTGCCCTCCGGAATTTCATATTCGCATCCCTGTCCAACCCGCATAACTTCCCAACTGCAATTTTCCACAAATTTTCCAGGTATCACTTCGCTAGGGAAGATATTTGGTATGTGTATTTTCTGAGTGATAGCAGAATGAATTGACTGGCTACAGTTCAGGGTGAAAAGCTCACCATAATCCCCCATCATCCCCGCGCCGCGTTATGGTACCCAGTTCGCTTCCTTCCTGTCCCTTCTTTTATCACAGTCAGTCTCAGCTAGTGTTTGAAAGTCCGGTTAGGTCCGGTTATTGGGTGCCCAGGGGCTCTAACCGAGACCGAGACTGGTTAGCCTTTGTCCCGAAACCTAAAATAACCGGACCGGACCGCAACTAACCGGTTACGGTCGGTTATTTGCAGTTACTAACCGGTTAGGACCGAAAAATAAAGAATCGGTTATAACAAGGCAAATATGCTCATATGTATCTTGATAGATATTATTTCTGCATATTCTAGCTTTAAAACGAGCCCAAGAACGCTAAAATCGGTGAAGAATTGACATATTTATGCAATTATCCTTGAAAGTCTACACATTTGAGTGATATTTTAGAGATTTGACTGTAACTTAGTCAAATTTTAAGCGTTTTCGACGTTCTCAAGTGCGTTTTGAAGGTGTATAATAGGGCTGGTTATAACCGGTTATAACCGGTTATTTAACGGTTAGTTAACTGCAAAATAACCGGTTATTCCATTTTCAAAATCAACTAACCCTAACCGCGGTTAGGTTAGTGTTGCGGTTAGGTCCGGTTATTTTCCGGTTATTTTCCGGTTAACTAACCTAACTTTCAAACACTAGTCTCAGCCGATATTCATTACCACCCTCCGGCGATTATTATTCCTGTCTTCCCCAATCAGCCATCGGCTCCTGCGCGAATGTCAGTGTTTCCCCTCTAAGAAAAATATCAACAGGGGTGTCGATGGTAGGCATGCTGCGCGAGTTCTCTGAGAGTGTTTTGAGAAAAAGCCGGTGGAGGTGGTAGGTATTCTGCAAGACGTGGTGGGGTCAAGATTTTTGTGAAGGAGGGATTGGCTGTCTGAGCGCCATGGTCAGATGACGAATATGACGGTTTCATCTCAAATTGAGGATCTTGAAGTCCTGGAGGAGAAGAGCGCTTGGAAATGTAGGACATGGTGGCCCGTGGGATGATGAACTTAAGTGGAGTCTGAAGGAAGTTGGCACCTGCAGAAACTTGAGAAATTAACGAGGCAGAGACAGCCCAAATCGAAAACAAAGATTTGTCCTGGACGCGGCTATGTAAGCGCCTAACTACGCTAGTCTGCTTGAGGGATTGGGCAAGAGGCCTTCGTCAAATTTCGGACTTGATCAAGGCGGAATGCAAAAAACCATGTGCTTCTCGTGTGGTTGTCGTATCCCCGAATCCGCTGGACCACTTGAGCTCTGTACATGATAGAAAAAATCCTTCTGAAGTTTAGAGAGATTGCTTCGTATGAGAATATCTAGTACTAGTAGTGCAAATTGTGGAAGTGTGATGGCTTCCGTCACGCGTCGCGTCACAACGCGTGTTGTTAATGTCACGTCACGCTGCGTGACGCAGCGAGCAAGGTCCAGCAAATTTTTATCGTCATTGAAATACCACACAACCAGCTACAACAAGGTGTAGTGTCTGCGCGATTTAAAGCAACGTTCTTGGCAAGCTGCGACAAGGCGGCAAGGCCTAATACTGACTCAGTTAAGTACTTGAAAGCCATATTTTCCGTGAAAAGGGCTAACTTTTCCCTACCTTCCGTTCATAAGCTCCGAGGCGCATCGTTGATTAAATAATCTTAACGTCCGTCAGGGCAGTGCCGCGGATGGTCCTTCCGATCCAAACTTGGCGAGACGGGCCCGGGACCAGCCAGAGAACGAAAACAACATCGCACCAATCAATCGGACCGCAGTGCGCAGGCATCAAGCACAGTTCATGCCAATCTGACAGGAGTGGGCTGTGAGGCAAGGACGCGGCGGCAAGCTTCCAATTCATTTCGAGACGTTGATGACTTAGGCTATGAATAGGAAATTTAACAACTTAAGTTCAAGTACTGAGCGGTCGTCTTTGTTGTCACCTTCGCTCTAATCTTGGACCAGTCTTCCGTAAGTTGAGGATAGGATAACTGTTGGAATTGTCCGGAGAATCTTTGGCGTATTACGCCTTATGTCGAAGGAACCATGCTCTACGTCGTCATCTGTATAAATTATCAAGAGGCGGGCGTTTCCGATTTATAGCTGGTGCTATATCCACACGAGGCTGGATAGATTAGTCGACATGTGGGAACATTCCTCACTTACAGGACGACCTATCAGCTCTTTACCACCGCCACGTCAATACCCCGCGCTCAATATAAGCGCCATCCACTCCCACCCTCCTTCCACTTTACCCCATGGACTACAGCAACGAACCACCCCATTCGCCCCTGCTTGACATCCAAGAGAAAAGACCGTTCAACGCGGAGCCTTCAGCCGCCGCTCTCGTTGAATTTCCATTGACTCCAGAAGACCTCGTCTACTGTCGCAATCATGGCCCTGTACGGGAGTTCGATGATACATACCAACTTACAGTCAAGACGGATAAGAATGAAGACATCAAGTTCAGCGTTAGCCAACTCACAACATTATTCCCGAAGGCTCAGATCGTCGCTGTTCTTCAGGTAACTTGAGATTAGTGAACTCACAATTCACAATCTGTTGACGCGAGCTCTAGTGTGCGGGACTTCGGAGGAATGAAATGGGCCTAGTGAAACCTGTTCACGGTGTTGCTTGGAGAGACGGAGTCACTGCGAATTGCAAATGGGGGGGTGTTCGTTTATGTGACCTGCTGAAGTATTCAGGGGTACAGGAGGCGCATCATGTCTGCTTTTCATCCTACGCCACGCTCTGTCAGGACGAAGAATACTATGGTGCCTCCATTCCATGGGAAAAGGCAATTCGCGAGGACGAGGATGTTCTGATTGCCTATGAGGTACGAATTCATTTTGAATAATTTCATTTTGAAAGCATCTGACAAATATGTAATACCAGATGAATGATGAACCTCTGAGCCCCGATCACGGCGCGCCCTTGCGCGTGGTTGTACCTGGATATCTTGGCGCACGCTGGGTGAAGTGGATAGATAGCATCCTGATCTCGGATGAGGAATCTCCAAATTATTATCAACAACGTGATTATAAGATCCTACCCCCGAGTGTACGCACTTTGACAATCACCTCCAAATATACTTCCTCACCCTCAACTAACAGGTCGAAACCAAGGCCGCTGCGAAATCTCTGTGGTCAAAGTATCCATCAATGACGGCGCTTTCGCTCAACTCAGTTATTGCATACGTGCAGCGATCCTCAAACTCAATATTCGTCAAGGGCTACGGCATTCCTGGACCAACTGGGAATATAACGGCCGTGGAATTAACGACGGATTCTGGCGCGACGTGGCACAGTTCTCGGATAATATATAGGGAAGGTAAATGGAGTTGGACATTGTGGGAAGCAGAGTTGTTTGGCGTTGGGGAGGGCGGTACAGTGCATAGCCGCGCGATCGATGCGCTTGGAAATGTACAGCCACGAGAAGGGTTGTGGAATCTCCGTGGTGTTGCATTTAACGGCTGGGGAGTTGGACACTGGTAAATATTAAGATGACCTTCGACAACCTGTATTATCCTACCGCGTTCATCTCTCTGTACAATATGTTTGACCTACCAAATTCTCATCTCGAAAAACGGTCACAAAAACGTGAGTGATAAATCCTGGACAACTGTCAGAAAATCGTTAGCAATGCTTCAAATCTAATGGGGTAATTCAGGTACTCACAACCCTGTTCTCCAGCCGAATTGATTCCTATGTAACCCTCATAAGTGTCGTCTGTCAAGAGCAGAATGCGAGATCACTGAAAGGCGATGGATGGACGATGATATTTTTAGTTACCATTATATGGCCACCGGTGAAGGTATGACTCTGTTGTCTTGAGATACGTTTCAATGGTCTTGATACCGTTTGTGTAAAATATTTCTCCAGAAGTTACTGGGAGCCATAACGCAAGATTTTCTTCGTCAGGCACTATTTGACAATTGTAAGAGCCACCACAACGGATCCCTGATAAGCCTACGTACTATCTGTGTAATCGGCCCTAAATGGCTTTGTAAATGTTGGATCCCAAACCACTCCGAGAAACCATATTCTGTCTTCTTCTTCCCCATAGATAACCGCTATGGGATTCTCCACGTTACAGCCCGGGTAGACCTCAGCGAGAAGGGGAACAGCATCAAATTCTCTCAACAATACCTCGCCATCAGTGTCTTTGTATATTTTAATTTTCTTGGTTATTCCTTCAATGTTGGCAATTCGGGACTTGAGGGAAGAAACGTTATGAGGTGGCGCGATGGAAAACCTGTCGATGCGACCCAATAAATTGTCGTCTGGATCGAATGATGTCTTTAGAACTATGGCGCCCTGCGTTCTATAGACGCGATAACAAACTAGATAACAATCCGTAGTATCCATTGGAATCTGGAGCTCGTCAAACGCACCATAACGTGGCTCATGAAGCCCACTTTTGAGTAGATCCTTCGGCCGGCCGCTCGCTGGTATTCGTTTGACAAGCTCGTGTTGCGCAATAACAAGAGCAATGGGTTCATCCTCAGACCCGGAATGTCCCTCGATCGAGAGCTGAATAGAATCGTCGAAGAAGGGAGAGTAACTTGAAAGAGATTTGAATAAATTACAACTCGTAATCATCGGAAAACCTTCGATTAAACAAAGATGGTTCTTCACGGATGAGACGCTATGCGGCGCTGTGATTAGTGTGCGGCTGATGGATGGATTATTTGCGTAGATCGGGTTGTATGAATCGATTGGGCCATAAATCGTGTAAATTCGGTAGTACACTTCCCGTAAAGGTCGATAGGAGGAATAGATAAAAAGAAATGAAGAGACGCACAGCAACAAGAGTTGTCAGCGCCACGTTCAACCTATAGAGTTCGTTACTAGCCATCTGCGAGAAAGAATGGTATATAGCTGACGGTCTCGCTTCCGTCTGGCCAATCTGGGCGCGCACCTGGATCAAGCGGTAGGTTGGCGCTCATGTCGTTGATAATATCATTGATAAGATGAAAAGCAATATGGGTCTCGACTCAAACACGTGACATCAATGTTCTTCCAACCGTCCGCGTCACTCCGAAGTCCAGGTTGCCTGCTCGACGTTCAACGTTCAACGTTTCAACCCTCAGAAGATCGTCGCACTTGTGTGACAGTCGACACCTCAATAAGTGGGAATATTTTCTCCCACCTCTACAGTACACTCGATGTATGAGAGCAATCTCATCGCGTTTTTGCCAGATGAAGGAAACAAACAGAAGAAATTACCATCTGATATTAGATGGTGGGAAGTTTCTTGACGACTAGGGCAGGCATTAAACGCGGTAAAGCTCTCCGACATGATGATGCGTATAGGTGACATCACAACGTGGCCAGATCACCTCCCCGAATCCGTCCTCAATTGCCTTACGCTGGCCTCGTTATCCTAAAACTCCTCCTCAAAACCTATAAGAAGAGTGTCTCATCAATTCGAAATACAAATGGCTGTCTCTCTTTCCCCAAGTGACCTCCTCGGCTTCCAACGTAAGTCCTCCTTCGTCTTCCTCCTCTTGCCCAAACACGACTAATAACGCTCAGGGCCGCTCACCCAACATGGTACCTCCCTCCTTACCATTACCAACGACAATAGCAAGCCCGTCGCATTCAAGATTAAGACTACCGCCCCAAAGGCATGGCAAATTAGGTCGTTTCCATCGAGTTGGCTAACTCTGTTTCCCCAGTTGTACTGTGTACGCCCCAACTCTGGCCGCATTGAACCTGGAGACAATTCCGTAATCACTGGTGAGTTTATTTCGCCGCGTGTCTTCAGACTTTTTACTTACAGGTGTACGCTGCAGTTATACGCCAAGCGTCCAGGAGAGAGCCGCCACTAAACGTCAAATGCAAGCACAAATTTCTTATCCAGAGTACTATAGTTACTCCGGAGAGAGAAAACATGTCTCCCCACGAAATCGTACGGATAATATTTTCCGGTCACCGAGTCCAACTAATGTTATTTCTTTCCAGTGTGGTAGTCCCGACGTCACCGAAGGAGGGAACATGCATCAGCAGAGGATTCGTGTGTCATATCTGCCTGCACTAATTCCAACGCGGGCAAGGGATGACGCCACTATTGCGTCCATTATTGACCGAATCCCCTTGGTGTGTTCAAAGCCGTGTGTAGTTTTGTGATGAACACCTCATGCTCTCTTTGCAGCTTAGTGACGACAGTACTTTCATACCCGGTAGCGAGCCGCAGCCGCCGGAAAACCCTCATCACCCGGAAGAGCCTTCGCCTCCGTCACACTCGGACACTTGCGCAGTTGACGAAAACTCAGGTCACGCACCTCATGGCCGCCTCCCAATTGCTCAAGAAGGTGAATTCTCGCACCCGAATGAATCGCCGTTCCAGATTTCTCCTGAAGCGGCTCTGCCTGCCCAACCTATCCCAGAGCTCGCTGAGCCAGGTTCAGACGAAGTTCGCAGGTCTGACCTCGTTTTCACTCCCGCCGTCGTCAGTACCCCCAAAAATGAGCCCATCAACCTATGCGAGGATGAGCACCAGAAAATCGAGCCCTTGGAACATGCGAGCATTTCTACGACAGCACCGACATCATCACTTCATCAAAACACGATGTTACCGCAAGTAAGTGCGGCAGCGACCGATGTTTGCAAGATCTCTCGTGGGGTTGAACCGGCCATTCCCTTACACATGGTCATTGGAGTGCTTGTGTTGGCGATGTCTTTCTCCGCATACATTGTTACACGGGGATAGTTCACATCTTAGGACTTGACGTCGTATGACCCCCTTACTTCATCTATTTTTATATATATGGCTTTAGTTTTGGACTTCAATCGCTAAGCCATGGTTTTGCCTCAACGCCGACTCATGATCGAGAGGAATTTGAGAAAACGCATTGGCTGGAAAATATAGCAACCTATGTCCTGCATATTTCTTGTAAAGGTATACATGTAGTGTCTGGTCCGGGCGTGATCAGAAAGTAACTAATAACTAAGTCGAAAGGTATCCCTTTGAAACAAGAAAATCAACAATAATGCGGACCGCGTCAAGAACCTCCGTTTCATGGGTCTTGATATGAATTTCTGGAGCTTCTGGGGCCTCGTATGGCGCAGATATTCCAGTAAATTCTTTGGTTCATGAGTTTCCCCGTCCTCAACACAACCGAAAATCTAACCTTGGATTTCTCCGGCCCTCGCTTTTTTGTACAACCCTTTGGGGTCCCGTTCCTCCACTATCTGCAGTGGCGCATCGATGTATACCTCGACGAACGGTAAGGAGGCCTTCAAATGTAGTTCCCTGGCTGTGGCTCTGTCTGCCAAATAGGGAGATATGAATGCGGTGATGGATACGCATCCTGCGTCGGCGAATAATTTGGACACCTGCCAAGACAGACGTCAGCAGCCAATAGCCCAGTAAGGACGTCTTACTCACCTCGCCTATCCGTCGTATATTTTCATTTCTAGACTTTTCGTCGAAACCAAGATCTTTGTTGAGGCCAAATCTTACATTGTCACCATCGAGACGGTAGGTGAATTTGTGAAGGTTCAGCAGATGCTGCTCGAGAGCACAGGCGATGGTTGACTGCAACAGGATGGGAAAATCTGAGCTATGATGGAATTTAAAAGTAAAAGACCGTACCTTTCCGCTGGCGCTTAACCCTGTAAGCCAGACAGTAACGCCTTTCTGACCAAGAAATTGCGTCCGCTCCAAGTTGGTCACAGAGCCTTCCAATCCAACAAAATGAGAAGAGAGGCCACCACAGAAGAGCGCTAGCGAGTATACCTGGGTGGAAGGTAATATTGGTGGCCATCACAAGTATGCAGATGACAGGAGAGCGTAAATTGCACGATCGATATGAGTTCAAGTGGGTTTATGTCGGAGCGGTTTCAATGACGGGTAAACCTGGGTCCACAACGGCTTTCCGTCTTCTCAAATGTGCGACCAATACTCCGGCGTTTTTCCAGCTAATACTTATATGCTTGCACATGACGCGATTCTATAGTCTTGCTCAATTATTGATGACGTTTACTCTCTAGTACTGTGGCGTCTCTCTCGGCGGCCCCTGTGCCACCAGAATAAATTATGCAAGTCGTCCAAAAGTCGTCATAACTTACCTGAATTTTTGAAATGAACAATGGAAAAATAATGTACATGTTGTATTGAAGTTGGGAAATTTAGGATTGAAATAGCGGAGCCTCAGAGAAGGATTACTCAAAATCAAACTTAGATAAAATGACTTTTAAATGACTCTTGGCGATGCGCCATGCCAACCAAGTTCCAAGTCGGCCGAGGTGTCATAGACTCATAATACTCTGTCACTCAGTCGAGAAAAAAAAACGGCTTGATGGATTGAATTCATACAAAATCCACTTTTTACATATTGAAATCTCAAGTTGCTGAGCGGGCATAACCCAAGCTGTCGTAAACAGAGTCGACATCGCACAAACATGACACGCAAGAATTTGTTCGGAAGGTCACGCGCATTGACATGGGTCTTGCGCACCAGATTTTACTCTCGAGTCTCAGCTCACTGATTAGTACTCAGCGCTCAGCGGCCATCTTTCTTTCGATCAATGGCTCGAGACTTCGAAAGTCGCGTCGCGCACACCTTAGAAATCTCGCGGAGGGGCATCTAACTCAATAAACTTATGGGCTTGAGGCCTGAGGAGGCCTTGAAAAAGCTGGGTGAATTTACATTTCGTTGTGGTGGGTTGCTGGCACTGCTAACGTTCTCTCGTTCAACTGGAGCATCATACGTTGTTCGCACTCCGATTTTTCGAAGGAAGCTACGAAACACAAAAGGAGGCATCCAGGCACTCTGTGACAGCCAGAGATTCACGAGCAGAAGGTGAAGGGAAAGAAGGGAAAAGCCGGGCTGTGGGTTTTCCTATTCCTCACTTTGTCGTCAGGCGCTCAGCCTGCAGGCCCAGGTTTTACGTACGGGATAGCTCACCCTTACCTTCAGCGCGTCAGCCTGCGAGAGCAACACCGATTACCCCGAATTCTTTTAGTAGAGCGCTCCGTCTTCCAGGAGGCATTCTGCATGCGACTCGGAGGCGTAGCTTGGTCACTCTAGGTTGACAGAATCTATGCGACAAGCATACATTCGTGCGTCGTCTGCAAACTATATCAGATTGTACCCCGCCGTTGAAAATCAAAGTTACATATGTAGGGCAAGAGCAGACCAGCGCAAACCATACATACCAGCGGCGAGTCGGGGCAAAAATATCGCGCTAAACACATGCAACAGTTCTTCTGATGCGACAATGGTACCTTATCCCTTACCACGATCTTTCGCGATCGCTTCCTTCAGCTGAATGTCGTGGTTCGTCTTCCATTATGTTAGAAGGCGGTTACTTGGGTAACAGTGCCAGTGCTGAAAGGACCCAAGCCACAGAGGTAGGTTATTGGTTGACTTCGAAAATCTGGCCGTATCTCAGTAACCCTGTCAACCGCGAAACGATGTGAAATATGTGAAATCCGAATGCCAAATGGCGCAGCGAAAGATTGGGCCAGCAACTTGCCAACAGAACGCATGTGCGCTTTGGATCCACACAGGCTGCGTCAGGCTTGTGTTTAGTCAACATGGTCGTGAGGTACGGAGCCGGAAATTTGATACGCAAGGCATGTGTTTCATCAGACTTCTTGCTACTGACAATTTGCCTTGAATGGTGTGCACTGCTTCTTGCACGCATGCCGCAATGAGCTTCTAGAAAATACTATGCTCGGGGACGTCGGCATAATTTCATAATTTCATTTGCACGCATTTCGCACCGATGACTGAGGCATACATATATAAGGGGACCGAAAGAGGACTTTGAGTTGATAACTTCTGGTGAGTCGTCTTCCCCTTATTGTTGTACCCCGCTAACTAGAGTGACGTCTAGGCAAGTTACGCGAGACTGCTCTGGTAGCACTCAACCATCCAACTCAAACCTCCCAAATCCTTATCTACTTTCACGACATCTACAATTTATGTCTCCTCAACTGTTCACTTATGCGCTGCTTGCCGCAACGTCGCTCTTTGGCGCTATCTACGCTGCTCCCATTGCACCAGTATGCCATTACGTCACTTTGGCAAGTATGACCACTGATTTGACCTTTGCAGGACGATGACGCTCTCTTCTCGCGCGCAACCTGGGGAACAGGTTTGTGTTTATTTTTTTCTCTTGAAATTATCACCGACTAGGACGCGCTCTAGGAAAATACACCATTGATCTGACGGTCTACCATTCTCAAGTTAAACCTGTGTTCCTGAAGGAGTTTAGGGCGCACAACGAGAAGTTCGAGTCGCTGTGAGTGTTTTTTTGGGTCATCGTTTTGTTTCATTTCTCAATCCTTTCATGAAGGTGTGGTTCTAACCCCGACTTTGAGATCACGCGTAAAGGCGATGTCAGTCCGAGCCCTGTCGACTCCAAGAAGAAGCAGCTGGGGAAATGTACCAAGGTACGTGCACATTATCTGTCCCCGTCCTTCGCGAACGCCATAACTGAACGTTGCGAACAGAGTACCTTCACTTTGAACCTTGGCGACGTTGTCCTCTCCCACATTCCCAGATCACGGAGCCCTAGCCCTGCTCGTCGTTCCGTTCACGAGTACATCGAGGAACTTTATCGTCGCGCCACCTGGGGCACAGGAAAATACACCGTCGACCTGTCGCTCTACCATTCTGAAATTAAGCCTGTATTCCTGAAGGAGTTCAAGGCATCCAACGCGAAGTTCGAGTCGCTGTGAGTGTTCATGTGATGCTATCGTTTCATTGCGTTTCTCAAAGCTTTTACAAAGGTGTGGTTCGAACCCCGACTTTGAGATTACACGCAAAGGCGAAGTCAGCCCCAGTCCTGTCGATGCCAAGAAGAAACAGTTGGGCAAATGCACAAAGGTCCATTATCCTATCCCCGATCACAGCAAACGCTCTAACCATTTTTTTTGAATAGAGCGCCTTTACGTTGGATCTTGGCGCAATTGTCCTCTCCCACATCCCCAGATCACGGAGCCCTAGCCCTGCTCGTCGTTCGGTTCACGAGTACATCGAGGAACTTTATCGTCGCGCCACCTGGGGCACAGGAAAATACACCGTCGACCTGTCGCTCTACCATTCTGAAATTAAGCCTGTATTCCTGAAGGAGTTCAAGGCATCCAACGCGAAGTTCGAGTCGCTGTGAGTATTTATGTGGTGCTATCGGTTCATTGCGTTTCTCAAAGCTTTTACAAAGGTGTGGTTCGAACCCCGACTTTGAGATTACACGCAAAGGCGAAGTCAGCCCAAGTCCTGTCGATGCCAAGAAGAAGCAGTTGGGCAAATGCACCAAGAGCTCTTTCACTTTGGACCTCGGTCATATTGTGCTTGCGCATATTCCCAAGTCCCGAAGCCCGAGCCCAGCCCCGGCCCGTTGAACAGTAATACGGTACTGTGATTGTACTAGTAGTTACTGAGACGTTTGGCGTTACTCTTGAGATTTAGCGTGAGGCAATTTCGAGGGAGAGCCCGTACGGTTACGTTTTTATGCCGAAAATGAGCGGTGTGCAAAGGCCAATTATAAGTAATTGCTTTGAAAGTCAGCATCTTTTACTTGAATGAACGTATTAGCTTGTATTAATAAGTTGTAAAGCCTTCAACAATTTCAAGAAAAGAGGCCGAAGTCACGTGGCAGAACGCGGTCGGGCCCGATTGACAAGCATCAGTCAACAAATGAAGTGATCATGACCAAATGGTTCACTTTCTAAATTCCTGCTGAAGGCTCAAGAGCACAAACATTGCCCGAGGTCACGAACGCATTCCAAGGTCATTCTGACGTCGGAAATTCGAACCCGATAAACCCAGCGAACGCGATATTCGCGCGAGAGGCTGTGCTTCACGACTACTGATTACGGTTAACTGATAGTCTCTGATACCCTCACGACAACTATCTCGCGTTGAACAGTGACACCTGCATGACTCTGGGGGCTGCTCAGAGAAAAACTGATGTATGACATCCAAAGGGGCTCGTGCAACAATGTGAGTGTTTTATCGCAGAATTTCGATTCGTTTTCCGAGTTTTTGATTCTACTTACTTCAAGGTCTACATCCATTTTCAGTGACAATGATTTTCCTACACACCGTCACTGGCTACATTTGCATCACTGATTACTAGTCACCAGGTTTACGCTGAAGGGCGCATTTCGAAGAAATACGGTAATCAAAGTCACCTAGGACAGCTTCTCAAAAGTACGAAGCGGTTCAACTATATGGGGAGGTTCTGCACCTTGTGGTGCTTTGTGGTGTGGGGTGTAGACTGGCTTGCACGTTGCTTGGGTAGAGTTTGCCGCGAGGTTAACTCGCGGCTCGGCGATAAAAACTCCCCTACATGCGTCATTACACCTTTTCAAACTTTTATATCGTGTGTGTGTTCCTGAAACTTCCTGTGTCTAATCTCGAATTGGCAGATCGTATTGATAAGCGACTTAGTGTGTGCCTCTTCTGCGCTTGCTTGACCTACTGCATGAGAATCGCGTTCTGGCGCAAGGAATCAATCAATATTTCTTTATCGTTGCCGTTCACCGGGCAAGAAAAGGAAAGGAAAGCCACTCAAGTGCATACTACAAGGCCTCTCTAGGCTCAAGACTGCTCAAGATAAATGTGGTTCGCCCCTGAAATTGTTCCTGGCAGGCAGTCACGAGGTTGGTCGGTAACCTTACCGCATAGCCCCGACTCCAACCCGGCTCTTAGTTCGAGCGTCTCACCCACGGCGCGCGCTGTAATTGAGAGTGCGAACTCAAAACCATCAGGACGACTCTCATCTCACTCCTAGCAACGTCATCCATTCCTCGTCAGGACTCCGACTCCCTTTTCTTAAGTCTCCCACACCATACGGGCCCACTTTACCGACAATGACGCCAGGTGGTTTGATAGCGTATGTTTAGTGGAGCTTTTCTGGTTATGTGCTGAGCTGACATACCACTACCACAGAATTATGGGAGGGACTGGAACTGGGAAATCGACGGTATGGGCTAGTCCACTGCCGCCGCCACCACCACTCTTGACGCTCTAAAAGTTCATCAACAACATTGTCGGCAAGGACGTTACGGATGTTGGACACGGCTTGGAGTCGCAAACCACGGAGGTTAAAGAATACGAATTCTCGATGCCCAATGGCGTTCGTGTGACCCTCGTCGACACGCCTGGCTTCAACGACTATAATGACAATGGTGGCAAATCCGACCTAGTAATTTTGAAAGAAATTGGCACTTACCTCAAAGCGAAGTGAGAGATCTGTCCCTCCATATATCGATAATCTAACCTTCATTGGCGTACAGATATGACGAGAAACGCAAGTTTTCTGGCATTCTATATTTGCACAACATCGGCGATCCCAAAGTCGGGGGATCTTCGCAGCGAAATATGGCGATGTTCAAGAAGTTATGCGGACCCGATCCTCTGAAGAATGTCGTGGTCGTCACCACATTTTGGGACGAACTAGATTTGACGCAAGGTGTCGAAAACGAATTAGAGCTGAAGACCAAGGATAAATTTTTCAAAGGACTCGTTGACGGGAAATGCAGATTCGCTCGCTCTGGAAAATATCCTCCGGGAAAGACACCCAAAGGTCCAGAGTTCCCCCCTGCAATCTCTATTGTCTCGGACCTCCTCGCCCTCAACCCCGTCTTTGTCGAGATGCAGAAGGAGCTCGCCGAGGGAAAGACTGTGGAGAAGACTTCTGCTGGTGTGGAGCTGTACAAGGAACTTCAAGAACTTAAGCGTCAGCAAGAGAAGGACGTTACCGATTTGAACAAAAAAATTGCAGAGTTGAAATCTGTCAACGCCAAAGACAAAGTAGCGAGGGAGGCATTGGAAGATGAAAGCAAGGCGCTGAAAGCGCAACTTGAGGAATTGGTGACAGGGCAGCACAATCTACACCAGGAGGTGCATTCCGGCAGGTCGGAGCTTGTCAACGCTATAACGCAGTTAAAACGAGAAAAGGAGGCGTCGGCGAAGGTGGGCATGTAACAATCTATTCCTTCTAAAAGTGATCGCTCAAAGTTTTTCATCAGCAAAGGGAACTCGACTTGGATAACATCCGTCGTATTGAGCTACAACATGAACTCGAGCTTCTGAAAACTCTACATGCCAAGGAAATCCTTGAATGTCAATTCCAGATCCGATCCCTACTCGACGGCAACTCTCATGATGCCTACCAAAGGTCGCAACTTGAAAAAGCTTGCGAAGATCTCACAGCTACTGTGTCTGATCTATCTCAATCCCTGAATAAGCTCCGAGAGACAAACAAGAAAGACGCGTTGGCGCGAACGGAACTTGTGCAGGAGTGTGCCCAGCTCCGCGAAAAAGTGACGACACACGGCAAGACACTGTCTGATCTCGCGGAAGCGAAATCGAAGATAGCCCACTTGGAGTCGCAACTGAAAGTATCGCAGGAGGCGCAGGAGAAAATGGCATTTGAGCTAAGCAGATCCCAGTCGGCTCGGGAAAACGCCAAATCCAACAAGGACGGCGCGAGAGAATTGCGATCGCCTCAGTCTCCGTCCTTGCTTTATATGATTTCGAGCCTCTCTGCAGCACGATAACGTTCATCCCTCTCCATGCACAGTTCTTTGACTATTTTGCCTGAGAAGTTAGGTCGTCGTGGGCGTGTAGCTGGTGGCAACTAGGACGGCCGGATGAACTACATAAACCTAGACACCTATAAAGTACCCACCACATGCACGGAACGAAGTCGACCGTTCTATATTGGAGATGGCACTGCGTGAAGGCAGAAGTCGATGTGACCTAAAAAGACCGATTCCCCGGATCCGAGAGGGGATGCCATCTCAACCTAGGGGTCCGTTGTAAGTCAAGAACTCGAGCAAGTACAATACATGAGCATACCGCGCTGGAGGATCCGACTCCCCTTACAAACTATATGTTGTGTTCCTGAGCGGCAGTAAGTTAATACGTAGCATCAAATGTGCTGGAGACAAACCGTTCGAAAACGCAGCTCGTCACATCCACAAATGTTGGTACAGGCGGGGTTGGATACGCATTGTGTGCAGATCGAAGGGTTTGGCCAACATTGAGCGGCAGCAGCAAGCCATGATTTTTTTCTGCTCTAGGCTAGTCCACATGGCCACAACCATCGACGGAGGGGATCAATGGCACGCCCTGGCGAGATGGATAATCGAAAGTGTTATTGTGAGGCACTAGGGAGGAAAAGGTGCATTGTATACGTACCAAGAAAACTCAAGTTAGCCGAGAATACTATCTCAAAAGATCGCTGGAGATTCAACAAGCAGACCCCGGCCAAATTGAGTCTTGACAACCTAAGGCCGTGAGGTGCTATGCCACATAGACCTCCGAGTCTGCCATGGGAAATGTCGGGTAGGCTGAACCTGAACGGGACGCAAGCTATCGTCGCCAAACTCAGGCAACGACTAGACGACATCGAACAGAACTTGAGAGTCAGAACCATGCCGATTTCTGCTAAATACAGTGATCCAGTGAGTCAGAATGCTCGAAAGTATGTGACGACGCACCTCATCACTGCACACCCCATTCCATCGCCGCTGGAAGCGAAAAAAAATTGACAACGGACCAGCCTTGAAAGCTTGAAGCTTGAAGGCGGCAAAAAGAAAACTTGTCTACGTCCTGACTGAACCGTGGTCCAAGGCTATCGTGGTGCGTGACGAAGACATGTTGATCGCTGTCGACCACAACAGTCACAACATTATTGATCGTCTGCCATTTTCAGCGTGTCCATTGTCATTGAAAGCCTTTCCAGAAGAGAAGAGGATCTTGAGGCGATTGCTGGCGGCCACGATTTCGGGGACATATCAATCAAGAAGGCCACACAGCCTCGAAGAGATCGACGGGTGTCACTAGAAGTCCGCTTCAACTCTTCATTGAACCCACTGATGGCCTCAATTACAAATCAATCTGGCATACAACCCCAAGACTGTCCACCATCTCCTTGTCAAGGCCTATCAGATGGTCGAGGAGGCGAGGGGGTAAGTCTGACTCGGATCTCCCCTAGTACCGCCTAACCAATGGTTGTGAATGTATTATACAGTTGGGAACTCTTGACCCAGGCAGCCCTCGATACAGTTGCGTCCTCTTTTACTAAATCCTCGCCTTTACTCTTACAGAACGGTCTGCTAACATATCCAATCAGTACACTACCGTCTATACACAAAAGATGGTCCAATCACATCGAACAACCCGGTCTACACGAACAACCCATTCATCGGCCGTACATTGCCAAAACACATTACGCCCCCACGTACAGCCTTGTCTTTGAAAAAGCATCTCTGCAAAATCGAAGGCTTGCCATCACCGACAAGTTTTGAATTGTTCGAATCGCTTTCCAGTCATACTGCGGTTTTGGACTCGTCTCGATTGGCACTCAAAGAATATTCCGGCTGTGGGTTTTCTGAGGATGATCCGATTGCTCTTGTGGTTGGGCTGGAAGCCGCTACAAAACGACCGGCGAGCACAGCACAATTGGAGGGTCTACCTAAGGCTGTACCCGCCCAACCCCGGTATGGTATGCATTGAAATTGTTGTTATTTGAATCCACGTTACTCATTGCTACTCAGTCCACTATCGTCTTTACGACGAAGATGGTGAGGTGGCTTCGAAAACGTCCTTTGATTCGGACGACTCTTCTTTGGGCCGCATCGACGTGTCGTCCATTCCTCCGCCACGGATGGTTTCTTTGTTAGGGTCCATGGTCATGAAAGCCGAGGGCCTCTTTGATCGGAAAGTCCAGCTGTTCGAAGACATGGACGGTGAGCTGTTGATGAACGACGATGATCACATATCCTTTCAAACAGAGGCTTACCCGGGACACGTTGAGGATGAACCCATTGCGATTACCTTTGGTCAGAACACAATTTTCACGAAAGAGATCAAAGGGATGATAAAGTGGGGTAAGTGAAGTAAATACAGATACATCAACATGACTCTCATGCTCCTTTGAATTCCAGTTCCACATAAGGTCGTTCAGCCAGATTGGCTTCCTTTTTTGAAAGATGAGATCATGTACACGGATGGTGTCAAGACGCATGGATTTATCGTCGGGTCACCGCGTAATTTCGTTTTCCATAATGATATGAGAGGGATTTGTACTCATACTTTCTTTTTAGATCTCTATAACGGATACATTGCCATGAACTCCGCTGGAGAGAAGGGTTGTGAGTGACCGCTGCCACTTTTTGAAACGCTGAGGGCGCTAACGAGGTTATTCCGTTAGTTGTTCATGATGGTGAGTGGCAGGTTTTCACATCTGATGCCGATTCGATTCATTCTCCACTTAGGTCATACCATTCTCTGTTAAATAACACACTTGAAACTTGACATTTCGCCGGTATGCACCGGACGTGGCTCGCGTTAACGTCGGTGTAGCACTTGTGCATCTAATGTCGTTCAGTTGTCAATTAATTCTCTGTGAGTAAACGTGCAGATATTCATAGGCCCAGGTTGGCTTCGGGAAGTGTTGGGAAATGAGAACGGGACGAGTACAAATAAGGGTTTCCCATTTATTTATTTTAAAGCTGAAAATATACCTCACAATTCCGGTTCGCCAGGTCCAACAATATCGCCGTTGCCACTGGCGGAAGGTTTTGAATTTCTGGTTCTCAGATTCCAATTGTATAAATTTATCGATAGCCGAGGACAATTCAGAACCTGTCTAATGCTATTTTTCGATAGCTCAGTTCTGAAGCGGAGCTTTGGTCGTTTAGCACAGCCAATGCACCCCATGATTTCTGCATTTTTCCGTCACTTACACACTCCTTTCATGGTCACGATGCCAAAACCCCTATCTTCGAGAGCAACCGTATCTGACTCCCCCTCTTTCGATTTGTTGGCTGCCACTGGCTGGACAACGGCTTCAGGTGTAGGATTGGACTAATAGTAACCAGGTGGACCGAAGATTATCGAAGAAAACCGGGGCGAATTGGAAGCAAGCTGAACACGCTGCGGCGCATAGGCTGAGAAGGAAGGGGAAAGGGAGGTCGACGAGTATATTATTTGAGAGTACCAGGAGAAGAGTCGGATAGTCAAATAAGGAGTCAGACTAGAAAGCTGCAACTTCGCGAGGACGTGGGTCATCTCCGGGGCCCGCCTCCGCAGGTCCCCTTACAACTTTCAAAGCCTCGACGGCCGTCCAGGCCAGATGGTCATCATTATTCAGACGTTGGCTCTCGACCTGTCTGTGCCGCCCGGTGACTAACTGAACCCAGCTGACTAGGGCCATGGTGCCATGTCTGGAACCAAAAAGATGCCCGATTTGGACATAATTCTCAAAGCGGTAGTTCCATCAGACCCTACCTTCCATTTCAGAATTTATGTCTATATCGGTCACACGATTAGTAATACTAATTCTGCACACTCAACATGTATCTTGCTTGTTACTGCACCAATTTCCGTTGTCGAACATGCAAAGTAGCACTAAAAAATTAGGCCATTGCAGAGGTACTCATATTGAGGAAGAGCACAAGGCAGGAGATGTCAGATCACAAATAAAAATTAAATAGAAGAAACATCTGTATCCCTCCATGGTGTCTGGTTCTCACCTACTCAGGATCCTAATTTCGAAGCTATGGCTCCCTGGTTATCAGGAAAGGCCAATTGTAAGAATAATTTTTATAAAATGCATGAGCACTTTGAATTTTTTACCATAAATCAACTAAAAAAAGTGGCAAAATGAATAGATAAAAGGAGGAAAATCTAGCAGAGGATTCAAGCACCAAGCTATGCTGCAGAGTTCTTGAACCATTTTTATACATTTATAATGAGAGCATGGGAAATCAACATCACTAACAGCCCTGGGGAAAGAAAATTTGGATCAAAGTAAATATGTCTGCACTCTCAGCAACAGGTATTGCATCAGTTTCCTTGGCATCCATGTCCTCAGGCATGGTTATATATGTTGGGTAAAACCTCTAAGTTTACACCCAGAGGAGCCTTCAGCAGAGAATTTCTCCTATTTCTTTTGGCCAAAATGCACAAGGTAAATTTTTACAGTAGAAAGCACAACTAGGATTATCCAGTTCTACTTCAAGAAAAAGGAGGTGCATGGTCTGCATTGATTCTGAAAGAGAGGATCAGATATGCATGTGCAGGAAGAGGTGGAAGGGGAAAATGTCAATTCTCATGAATTCTTTCCCAATCTATTGGTTTGAGTTATATCCATACTTTCTGGTGTTTATATATTTCTAAGTGGTGGTGTGAGATTTTTGGTGCATAAAAATGCAAATAGGAGAGTAAAAAGAAGTCAGAGCAAATATATTCCTGAGAAAAGAAATTGCAGCCTGCAGCAATTGAACCAGAGACCTTGCCATACATTATCAGTCTTAATCAGATCTTTCTGTTGAGCTAAGCTGCTCTTTTAAATAACATAATTTATAGTGCACAAGATATAGAGTTTTTGATTTTTGATTCTTTTTAAAATTGGTTCCAGACATGGCACCATGGCCTGGACTAGCCAGTGACCATTAAATCACAATTTTTTATCCGATGAATTGTCCTATTGTTGGAAAAATCGAAATTAGCATATCAGTGGTTGCGGCAGCTGATGAACATATATGAACTCATCAGCTTCTTGTGGGCAGCCATTTCAGCTATTTATCAGATCATGTCATCCCTGATAAGCTGCTGGTCTGAACAAGCAGTACGCGATAAGTTTTTTCCCAGCGGGCATGTCAGAAGGTTATCACTTCACATCATCTTGTCCAGCCTACAAGGAGGAGGAATATCATATCTGAGGTGCCGAGGTCATATTATTTCCAGTGCTGGCCACTATCTGACAATCATTCGCAACAAAGTTATCGTGTTACGACAAATTATTTACACGTAGGAATTGTTTGTATATGTATTTGTCGTATTCTACTCTTTCATCCTGAATCATTGTCATCGTTCCTCCATATTCTTCACGCTTTCATGGAATCAAGGCGCCTTTTCACTCTTTTACTCTCTTCTCTAATTCAACTCATGAACAGAAATTCTACCTGTTCACTCATTGCTCCCCAAAATCTTGTGCTCCTTCCGTTTGGCGATTCAACATCCTTAGGGTCCCACGATGCTCGCTTCAAATACCACAGTGCGCCTCATTTCCAATACGCCGCCTGGGCTCCATTCAGTGTCTGATTGTGCCATAATTCCTGTGGAGTCCAGGAGTGTTGGAGAGAACATACTCCACACCCTTGGCATGGCAGTCGTCATGCTCCAACGTTGATCCTACAGCCCCAAAACACATAATGCACAAAGATGGTGAGTGAACTCTGCCACGAACCTTCAGCATCGCCCCATCCCACTCTATCCTCACCCACCACCCTCTCATCAGACCCACGTTGGGTCAGGATGTGACAAGCAGACCAACCCAGACTTTCCTCCCATCTGAATACTCAGGAGCACACCCAACTCTCCCCCCTTCTCCTCCATGTAACCGTCCTCGTCCCCATCACTGTTCTCCAGTAGTTCGGAGATGCTCCGAACCATGCTCCCCATCCAGCGACGATCCAAGGCTCTCTCAATCATGATGTCACCTACCAAACACCAGACTTGGAACCAGGAATTGTATCAATACAATGGGGGCTAGCACATCAGCACGGTGCGGCAAGGTGAGTTATCAAACTCTGCTTACAAGTGGTTATACTAATCATTGACATTATGCCAGAACATTCTCAGATCCTTGTCGAAGCGAGGTGTAGATGTTCTGGATGCTGCAGACGAGCGCCTATTCAAAAGAAGCACATCACATTTACCAATGAAGACAATATCAGCTGGCTAAAGCGTGAGATGGGCGATATCAAGGAGGGTGTGAAGGAAATTGCAGAGTATTTGCGAGGAGATGTGGATTACAAGTTGGAAGAGATTCTTGTGTACATTCGAGAATTACCTGCACTCTAGTACCATGTAGATATTGATCTTGTAAATGTATCATTATGAATCTATTCTCTGCATTATTATCCATTACCTTTGCATGAATTGCCATTATCGATTGGATAGCATACCCCTTATTTGCCAGGGGTAACTAAGATGGCAATATTTGTGCTGAGGAGCATAATCAACGGTTGTCTCGCTGATCACGACTGTGACTATGGACCAACTTTGTCAGTAATAATTGTGGTGGTCTTTCTGGTCAATCGACATCAAGGTAATCATTCTGACAATATGATATAAATGATTACTGAGCCATATTTTCCCCCCGAAAAGGTGATGGACTGATATGCATTGATCACTTCATGTCTCTACATATCTTTTGATTTTGATTTTCCTGACAATGCCAGAACTTGACGAAGATCAAGGATACAATCAAGAGGGCTCTAAACCCGCATACAAAGCCTCTTCAAACTCGTTGTACAACTTAAACAAGTTTCTGCGTCAAACGGCCCGCAAAGCTGTGTCCCAAATACAGCAACGACCCCTGTGGTTGGATCCAAAAAGTGGTATGTGCTTGCCCAAGGAAAGGATGATAATTTTTGACAAACAACAAACAACAACCTCTTTTCCTTCTTCTCCTCAGACACGCCGTTGAAACACTCCCAAATGTGCAGACTCATTTCATCTGCTGCTTCAATGTAGATTAAGAACGACACTCGAATAACACTGCTCTATATTGGTTGTATCAGCAATGACCTTTCTCCGTAAAACATCACATGACTTTTTCTAGGACCTGTGCCAGTTTCGGACCAGCTGTAGCTCACGTACCGTGCCTCTTCCCTGCCTCGGAATACGACTATCTTGAACTCTAATGTTTAAAATTGCTTGAAAAAATTATCCGGGTGTCCGCGATCACCATGCGTGCTTTTTACATGAGCTGAAAGGTGGTTCTTCAATGTCCTGCGAGAATACCTCCACTATTTCTCTTGTCTGTACAATGGGATAGTCAAGTTGGGTTTTGTGAGTCGTCTCAGAATCTATTTGTGGCGCTTAAAGTAGAATTTTATCTTTGCAGATTGCAATTTTATACTTACTGGCTAGACGTTATCACAAGAACCTATCAAAAATCTCCGCGCGTTTCCCAACCCCTCAGTCATAGTGTCACTTCAACTTTGGCGCTATTTATATCAGGAATTGCACGTCTCGGAGCACGTCAACAAAAGTATTGGTAAAGCCGGGAATTTTCCTTCCTGATATTCTGCTAGGGGTTGAGGTATTTTTCATGCGACACGCGTTTTTTTAACTTCCACGGCACTACGCATGAACACCTTATTTAATCGGCCCAGGCATGTGTGCCAGCTATCCCCAGCCTGGGCAGGTATTATCTGCAGCGGAGTGGCTTCAAGTTTCCGTTGAAATTTAATCTGGGCCTGCAGTATCAGAAGGGTTGAAAGAATACGTATGTCGTGTGTTTCGTTCTGCTTCCGAGCTTTGGGGACCTCGAGGACCAGGTTCATTCTTCACCTTCGACTCGTCTTGTCTAGCAAACAATTGAAGTCCGACAATTTCGGACTGAATATCCAGGGATGGGTAAATGCGCAGGAATTGTTGAGAGATGACTTGGAGCTACTTAGCGCTTCGTCGAGGGAACAGAGAATAGCTGGCCCGGGACCGTCAAAGACAACTGAGATTGAGAAACGAAGACTGCACAGTGGAGGAGTCTTTTTGACAAACATGAACCAATAACTCTACCACTACACACAATTTGACAGCCAACTCCCACTGACTTGCATGATCTACTCCTTCCAATTTCAATCCTTGAATCTTGTAGATAATGGAGAGGATGATGACAGGCGAGGGAAGTGGATTGGGTAGTTCTGAATCACTTGGCACCGTTCCACCTCATTTTCAATTTCAGAAATTTCCGCCCCACTACTCTGACACACAGACTACACGCCACCTGAATAATGGAATGAGCTAGACAGCCACCGGCTTGCTGACGCCACTCTCAGGTCTGTCGAAGGCGATCAAGTCTCTTGTCGTCGAACCCCTCCAGTCGCTAGTGGAAGCAAGGTTTTTCAATGAACCAACTTCCTGAGGGGTCGTTACATCGGTTCAAATGCATAGGTCATTAAAAGATGGCTGACGGAGCTGCGATGTGGTCTCAAGATCCCAGCTAGTGTTTGAAAGTTAGGTTAGTTAACTGGAAAATAACCGGAAAATAACCAGACCTAACTGCAACACTAACCTAACCATGGTTAGGGTTAGTTGATTTCGAAAATGGAATAACTGGTTATAACCAGCCCTATTATACACCTTCAAAACGCACTTGAGAATGTCGAAAACACTTAAAATTTGACTAAGAGTCTAAGTTACGGTCAAATCTCTAAAATATCACTCAAATGTGTAGACTTTCAAGGATAATTGCATAAATATGTCAATTCTTCACCGATTTTAGCGTTCTTGGGCTCGTTTTAAAGCTAGAATATGCAGAAATAATATCTATCAAGATACATATGAGCATATTCACCTTGTTATAACTGATTCTTTATTTTTCGGTCCTAACCGGTTAGTAACTGCAAATAACCGACCGTAACCGGTTAGTTGCGGTCCGGTTAGGTTATTTTAGGTTTCGGGACAAAGGCTAACCAGTCTCGGTCTCGGTTAGAGCCCCTGGGCACCCAATAACCGGACCTAACCAGACTTTCGAACACTAATCCCAGCGAACTCACCCGTCCTCAGCTCAACTCTGTGTGACTGTTGTTTGAGGGCCGAGGGCGCATGACATTCTTCAGCCTCATTCAAGTTGAATTTGGTGAGTTTGGATTCCCGAGTCTACAGCCTGAGTTCCTCTAATGCTTCTTCTGTCACGTAGGGCAGACACCAGCGTTTTTCAAGACTCAGCAATGGCCTCGATCCTCTTGTCGGATGCCACTACATGAATCGAGAAAGAGCTTGTGTCATCTATCCTCCTCGACCCCCTTTGTTGCAAGAAGCTTCAAGGATACGTTGAAAAAACAAACTCTCGTTGGAAGTTGCACAGCCACAGCTCCGGTGCACTTGTCCAATTTGTGGTTCTCCTAGTCAGCCCACCTGCCGATTGCCCTAAGTCTGCCAAGGCCGGAAACTAATTTGCCTCCTTCGAGGAGAAGATCACGCATTCATGTGAGAGGTTGCTGGTTGGACGAGCGAAGGCTCATCCTGCACATGGTGAGTTTGGACATGGTTATCGTCGGATACATTCTCAGACTTTCCTAACTTTCCTATAGGTATCCTGCCAGAGTTACACTGCCCGATACGTGTCTGATGCCACAAGCTCAGAGCCTATATCACGAGCGAGATAAGGACGGCTGGACAAGTTCACTGGACGAGTTCATGAGCTCAGGGACGTACAGACCATGACTGAAATCCTGACACGATTATCAATCATCATGTGGTCGACCCTACTATACTTCGTTCTCTCACTTCTTTCACCTCGTTCCCTGACACTGAGAGTATGTATTCACTATCTCCCTCGCGATACCTAAATACTCATATGTATCTAGTCACTCTGTGTTTAGGTAATTCAATCTAAGTATCATTTCCTTCGTTGCCTGACTGAGATCGCTCTGCGTCTAGGTCCGACAAAATGGATACCCAATCGACTGGGGAAGATCTGGAAAAGGATCTAACAAAGCTTCTGCATGAATGTGAGGCTAAAGTATCTCGCCTCGACATTTGCGCGAGGTTGATCCAAAACAAGTATGTGCGGCGCCTATTGTCACCTCTCCTCTTCCAGGAGGAACACCCTGAGAATCTGATCTGGTTCAAACACATTTTTTGGACTCACAACCTCCCACCTCGCCTCCCACCTACTTTTCGCATTGCTCTACTTGCCCCCAGTGAATTGGCAATTGAGCTTCAACATCATCTTTCGCCATGATAACCTTCCTAGCGAAGGATCAAAGTGTCAGTCACAGAGAGCACCTCGAGCCTAGGAGAAGGCAAGCCACATGGCACACAGGTACGGCCTCAACTTGCTTTCCTGCCTGTCCATTCGATTTACAGAGCTTTTCTTTATCGGGTTCAAGTGCAGGCTCGCCACCGCACCTCAGAGATCCAGATGATTCCTCCGAAACGGCACCATTAGCGTTCGACCACAGTCTTACAGAGGAAGACACGATTATGGCGTTAGTATAATCTTTTTCTTCCATGGGTTCCGTAAGTTATTTCAGTAACATGCATTAGCGGTGCCCAGTTTTCAAATGGTCCTTGATGCGCATCAAGCTGACCGGCATCATTCAGCTTTGTGGTATTGCAGATGCTAGAATGCGAGGGACCCCTTTAAGGAACCTGAAGATGTTTGAGGAGCTGTGCGGTTCCGACGTATTGGCAAACATTATTCTTACGACCACTTTCTGGAACCAAGTCATCCCGATGTCGGTTCCCAACGCGAGGAGCAACTAAAGACCACATTGCAGAGAAAATGAGGGTCATGTCAAAAAAGGAGGTGATCCGTGCAAATGAGCAGCGAGCGGCGTTGAAGGGGGTACGGTCTCCAAATGAGGCTTTCATGAATGTGGCCTGGAGGGCAGCTCGATGACTTGAACGTTTTACCAATGTTTCACACACTTGAAATATGTAGTGATTTTTGAGTAGCATATATAAAGCATTCTAGAATCTACCCTAATAGGACTCAACTCACCGAGCGCTCGAGGCTGGGATGAGCATTGTGGAGTGGACGATGGAAAGACTAGACGCTATGCCAGAAATAATTGAGGACGACAGTGCACAGCCCTAAACAAAGCTAGCACAAATAACGTTGAACTTCTCCAACGAGTTGCGACCACTTCTAGATAACCTCGTTCTCTCGTGGCATGCCATATGAAGAAGGCTGCTACCAAGGTCAGCAGTACCTTCGGCAAGAGCTTTGGTCGGTCGGGAAAACACGGTACAGAATCGGTGGGAATAACACCGCCTCCAGGGCCACTATCCACGTCTCCTGACCAGGACCCCAACACATCATCCACACCAAGCGGAGCACCTCTTGGCGGAGTTCTCATACCTGTGGGCCATAGCAGCTGCTATCAAATTTCCGTATTTGGAAATTTGATAGCAGCTGCTATCCAAAAATCCAAAAGCGGATTTAATAGCAGCTGCTATCAAAAAATTCCGTAAACGGAAACTGCTACTAATTATAGTAAAAAGTTCCCACAGTTCTCTGCTTTGTCTTCTACTTCGCATTTTCG